TAGAAAATACTTTTTAATTATTTAAAAACTTATTAATATAATTTGATGGAATTTTGTAATACTTTATTAGAAATTGATATAATATATCTTTCAAACTTCATTTACAATTAACTTTTTAATAATTATATATTGTTAAATATATTATAACAAGTTTTAATAGGGTATAGTGACCTAGTAAAGTGATCAGATTGTCAACCTTTCAAGTAGTAGGTTGAGTGTTTAAATCTCATCAATAATAAAAATTTGAATAATTACCTATATAATATTCATATTATAGCAACTGTTACTAACAATTAGATTAGAATATTTGTAATGACAATCATATTAGCATGACTAATAGGTTATAGAGTATTTATGTAAATTATATGATATTGTTTTTTAGGACAAGGTCTGTGATTACATAAAGAAATGCAAACCAACAATTAAGCAGTACAAATACTAAATAAGTTCTTGTGATTATATAAATCTATTGAAATTAGATAACAAAAAATTCATTTGGAAAGATCTAAGTAAAGAGATAACTAGATCTTTAATAGTACTATTATAAAGATTAAATCAGAAAAATAGATACTCAAATCTTAGTAATCAGATGAGCAAGAATCTTTGAATAAGAAGTCTTGAAAATACCAACAACCAAGCTACTAGAATAAACCAAAGAAAAAAAAATATTGAGCCAATCTAATATATTAATAAACTAGTTATAGTCCTATACAGATTAAATTAAAAGTTTGCTAAAATTTAAAGGTATACTAAAATACCAAGATTATGCTATGAAGTAAATACTAAAATCTGAATAAATTTTACAAGAATATAATGATTTAATAGTTAAGCTCTGATCATAAATGTTAATTCTGCCATAGCAATACTTAGATTAATTGTAAAAATAGATACAAAAGACTCTAGAAAGTTTATTTTAAAAATAAATTAATTCTAAAATTAAAATGATGTTTTGAGTATCTGGATATAACTTAGTAAATTAATACAAGTTACAAGTTCAGAAGATTTAAAATAAAATATCCAAGTAAGAATATTAGGTATAACAATTGGTAGAAAACCTTTAAGCAAATTCCTTAAATAGGTAATATAGAAAGTTACATATATAACCAATTGTATACTCTTCTGTAGTAGTTCATTGAACCACAATACCAATAAGTAATTAATAAAAGTTAAAAAACCAAAGAAGTTATTATATTTTTAATAATTATTGTCCAAATGTAGTAAAGAACTTATATTTTAGATACTTAACCAATTTTTGTCTGTCTGTTCACCCACATAGCCACATGATATCACATGACATACTAGATGTCTAAGCTGAATTTTGTCTGTCTGTCCATTCATGTGATCTAGGGACCTTAGCATTATGCAAAATGAAAGGTCGAATTATGCAATGCGATTGGTCCAAATTATGCACCCGATGCTAATCACTTCCGAAATTATATGAAATAGTCATAAATTATATGATTTTTTTTAATCTACCAATAAATTTTATTTATTTATTGAAATTCAAAAAATTTAATATACGAATAGAATTTTCAGACAAATTTTGCCTGTTATCTGTTAAAATTCTATTATATGTAGAAAAACTACACTTCACATCAACACCTGAAATTGGTAACCAAATATAAATTAATGCTAATTTAGATAAATTTGGTAAAATTTGAAGTTTTTCCTGCCAATAATAATCCAAATCAAAATCATTTTCAAATAATTTAGTCAAACCACAATAAATTCCCCATTCAGTAATTAACTCATTAGTAGGATTTTTAAATTCTTTAAGATTTCTATATAATGAAATATTTTGATGATGTGGTTGTAATTGAATAAAGCGAGGATCAAAACATCTAGTAGCAGTAAAAATTGAGATAGCAGAATTATTATTGATATGTTTGTCAAATTTAGTTAAAGCAAGTTTAAATGCTTCTTTAAAAAAAGTATCATGAATTGTAAAATCAATATTATATTCTTCACAAAGTTTTTTCATTTCATTTAATTTAGGCAGAATTTCAATACCAGAAAATAATCTTGCTCTAATTAATTCTAATCTTGTTGCAAAAAATGGAGCTAAGGGCTTATCACAGATTTTAAAAAATTCAATATTATTAACCAATCTATAAATTAATTAAAAAAATTATTAATAATTAAATTAAAATTAATAAATAATTAAAATTACTTACTGTTACATATTAAAAATAATAAAATGCATAATAAATTGAAGAAAAAAAATATTATTATTATCTTCAAAAGTTTTAATAAGTTTTAAAATAGTGGAATTATTATTTTGATTTTTTTCTTCTTCTTGATAAAATCTAATAAAATATTTAAAATTTTTATTTAACCAAAAAACAAAATTAAACCAGGAATTCTATCTAGTTTTTATAGGTAAAGAAGGTAATAAAGGATTTAAAACACCATTAGTAGCAAGATAACTAATATATCTTCTTTTTCTAGCAGGAGAATAAGTAAAAGTTGTTTTAATTAAACCTACTACATAATTAAGAAATTTAAAATTTTTATATTCAATCCAAGTTTTACCAACTAAATTAAGAATATGAGCAAAACAAGTACTATGTTTTAATTGGGGAATTAAAGAAGAAAGAACTCTAAATGCTGCTAATATATAAGAAGCATTATCTGTAATAAACAAAATTATATTGTTAAAAGAAATATTATAAAAAGCCATTGTAGAAATAACTAACTGAGAAATAGTAGTATTATTAACAACTTTTAAAAATTCAGTTTTTACCAATTTAGTTTTATTATACTAACTAAATAAGACATTAACTACAGCTCTTTCACAAGAATCTGTAGTTTCATCTATAGTAATACAGATCTTTTGATCATTTAATTCATTTTTAAGTTTTGTTTCTTTTTCTTGATATAAAAAAGGAAGATATTTACTATGTAATTGACCAGGTTTAGGTATAACACCATTTATAAATAAATATATACATTAATTAATTAATTAAATTAAAATATATATAAATATATAATTATTTAAATTAATTACCATTTTTACAATAATGCATTAAAAATGGTTTAAAATAATTCACCTTTTCAATAGGTATATCAGTTTAAACAAGTACTTGAAAAAAATCTTTGATAAAAACTTTTTTGACATCAGAATTTTGTTAAAAAAACTTTATTCCAGCTTGATGTAAAGTAGGTTGTACAGGTTTTTGAGTTTTTAACTTATGCCCTTCCGATTTTAAATGGTTATCAATTGTAGACTTTTTTTCATAATTTACTACGATTTTACATGCCTTACAAAAAAGTTTTCTGCCATTAGTATAAAAGTCAAGTTTATACTTGAGATTTTTTGCAAGACGTTCTGTAACATTTATCATTATATATGAAAATTTCAATATAATAAAAAAAAATTTATTTAATAAATTTTTTTTTGTAAAAAAAAAATTATGCTGATTTGATTTTTTTTTATATCATATAAAAAAAAAGATTAAAATTGACCAATCAGAAGGTGCCAATTGTGATTATGCGATTTTGGATCAAATTATGCTTTGCATATGTAATGCTAAAAATTGACCTATTATGCGCATCACATCGCATCGCACAAAACTGAGGTTCCTAATGTGATCATATCTTATCACATGATACATACTAGATGTCTGATCTGTCTGTCCACCTATGTAATCATGTCATATTACATGATACATACTAGCTGAATTTTGTTCATGTAATTAGTCATAAAAATGATTGAACAATTTTTTTAATTCGCTTCAAATTTACAATAGCACCTGTTTTCCTAGTAATAGTAAAGAGTGATGCATACAGCCTAATTATGTATTATAACAAGTGATATATTAATTGTTTAAAGTTTCTGTTCTATTGAATTGTTTGTTTATCAAAAAAGAATTATTTTGATTTAATTAAAATAAATCAAATTTCAGTAAAATAAAAACTAAGTTCAAAAATTCCTATTGCGAATCAAAAAAAGCATTAATTTTATTTGTCAACAAATTACAATATTATAATATCATGTAATTGTTGAAGTTGACTTGGAATCGACTTGAAAGATGCTCATATTAAAGGTGAGGCCTAATTGATATTACGTATTAGCCTTCATTTAAACAATATTAGTCATCTGATGAATATATTCGAATAGATATTTGCATTATTTGATTAAGTTAAAATATATGTTATGGTTAGGTCTTAAAGGTTCTAGTAGTAGAATCATTCAAGAAAACTTAAGAAAACTTTTTGTTAATGCACAAGAGTGTGTGGTTTCCTGTGCAGAATTGAGTTATAAGTGATTTTTTTGACAAAGCAAACGTTTTAAGGCTGCTCAATACAAGGCAGCTTTTGTCTCGAATCAGCTCATATCAAGGCATGTGACATGCCCAATTACAGTTACATGGGTAATTTTGGAATGATGTGTTATTATATTGTTAGTGTTAGTAATAAAATAGACTTTGGAATTATGAGGTAATAATTGCAATTAGTAAATCAGTTCAGTAATATTGATGTATTTGACTCTGATGGTTTGAGTATTTAAGTATTGTAATGAATAGAGTAAGAGATAACTCTATTTCTTTTGCGAACCCGACTTTAGTCTGGTTTTATCGATCCCTCCCACCCTACCCGTAACCATTGGGGGGTATTTTTATTTAATTAAAGATTGTGAATAGATGGCCTGTCGGGACGACAGTCATGTTGAAATTTTATTATTGGTTTAGTAAACCAAAATTTAGTATAGCATATCACAAACAAGTTTTGGCCTGTCGTGACGACAGTCATTTTAGAATTTAAAGTATAAAAAAAAAAAAAAAAAAAAAAAGGAATCGTATTCGATTCTATAAATTTGCGTAGAATGCTCGGCAGCGGAAGAAATACCCATTTGTTTTTCCATCTTAATCACAAGCGAATGAGAGACAAAACAAAAATCGAGGTCGATCATCGCGTGAGCGTAAAAAATAGTAATTTTGTTGGCGATCCTGAGGTAGTTTATCAAAATTTCGGAGAGTGAATGTTTCTCGATTTTGATTATGGCTACGTCTTTGCAAAAACATACATCTGATTTTAAACCACCGCCAGGACATGGCAAAATAGCATGCCATCTCCCATCTGGAACTAGAAAACCAGCCTTTTCCACTTTTCGTGCCTCTTATCCATTAAAATTTCTGACTCCAAAAGTGCATATACCTTATCTAGCTGCTGTATACTTTCTTTCTTATGGAGGTGGCATGGTATCCGGGGATTCGATTTGTATTGATATTGAAACTTTTCAGAATGTCAATTTGATGCTCTTGACTCAGGGCTCAACCAAGATTTACAAACAACGAGCGCAAAAAGAGAGCATTCATGATAGTAGTGAGTGTTTGCAGGCTGAACCAAAAAACCTTTCTTCTGTCACGCGTCAAAGCCTCAATGCATATGTACACGAAAGCTCTTTACTCCTTCAACTGCCTGAACCTACTACATGCTTTCGTGATGCAGAATATGTTCAGAGTCAAATATTCTCACTAGAGAATGGCGCATCTGTCGTCATTTTAGACTGGTTCACAAGTGGCAGAATGTCTCGAGGAGAACGTTGGGAATTCGCACGTTATGAGTCAGGTGTTAATTTATTAATTGGCGGAAAATTAGTTCTTCGCGATGTTGTATTATTGCAGAATGGTGATTATAATAATAATTGTGCCTCTTTCATGAAAAACAAAGATGAGAATAACATTAATAATCTTAACCGTCGACTGGAACCCTATGAATGTTTTGCAACTTTGGTAATATATGGACCAAAAGTGATTTCATTAACAAATCATATTATGGATGAGTTCGATAAAATAGTGGTAGACAAGATGGATAAAATTGCTGATTTGATTTGGTCAGCATCTGCATTGCGGATAGAAGAGAAAACTAATAGAGGGGTGGTAATAAAGGTTGCTGGTGTTACAACAGAGATTGTGAGGAGCTTTTTGGTTGGCGTGGCTTTAAAAGGGTTAAATGAGATAATTGGAGAGAATCTATTTGAAAGAGCGTTATAGAAATAGTTTGATTAAAAATTTTTATTACATATTCTGTTTGAACATTTACTTATTATAAGCATATAGAATGAGCATTTGAAGTCTTCTATAGTTTCCGGCGCTTTGCTTGGTTGTAATCATGTTACTGCATTATCTGTTATATTCTTTTCATGCATTTATCGTTGGATTTAATCCAAGTGGTATAATTCAAATGTGTTTCTTAGACCATGAGTTAATTAATTGATTTTTATCCACTATCATAGCATATCTTAAAATGCTATAAATATGGACTATAATTATATATAATTTAATGTCAATTTGCGGGTATAAAATGGCTTTGTTATTACTCATAAAATAAAATATAAAAAACAAATGCGCTCACAAATTTTGGCTCAAATATATACCTAACCCCATGAATGCACTTTTCCTATTGCTACCTAAATATTCTCTAGATGCATTTAAGAGGTTTGAATGTAATTACTGGTTTAACCGGCAACTACACCGACGTGTTTGTGCCGGTAATACTACTTGACACGACTGATCCTTCGCCCGGTGTGCAACATATAAAACAATTATTTTACAATACCAGATCATTCCGCTAGTACATAATCCCACACCATTTTATTATAATCATCGCATGGTATTGTAAATAATTTTTTTATATGTTGCACACCTGGTGAAGGATCAGTCGTGTAACATCGACGGCTCTGTTCGACGTCACGCGAAAGAGTCATTCCATAAAAAATCAAAATTAGTAATTATATGTGGCAAACAAAACACAATGTTTAAAGGTTTTGCACACTTAGAGAAAATAGTGCAAACTTCGTCTGAAATCGCGTCATTAAATTTTTCAACTAACAACGCACGCGTAACTGCCTTATTAAAACCGTCAAGCCGAAAAGTCATTCGTGAGGCTGCACCACATGAGCGTAAATTATTTACACTCGTTGAAGAACTAGGCACAACACCGCGGTAACGATTTTTTAAGAATGTATAATAACGATTTGGGAAAATTATATTTTGAACTTACCTTCTTTATACTGTAAAAGGGAGGAATTAGAACAGCCCACTCCATTACGCGGACCTGATCCAGTGACTGTTGATAAAATATTACGAGCTGCCAATGTGCTTGCTCAAATATGGTATGATAATATTTAAGGATTCTTATTATATACTGACCATTGTTATTTACCTAAATAATTGTTCAGTAATCTTCAGGATGCCAAAGAGCAAATTGAATTCTTGGCGCAACGTCACGAAGAAATAACGTCTTCGATAGACAGTTTGGAATCCATAATGGAAAAGGTAAATTTTCTTCGTTAAAAAAAAAAAAAAAAAAAAGGCAAAAATATTTCCATTTAAATAATATCTTACATATAGTTAAACCAAATAGCAAAAAGTCAATCTAGAAAAATGTAAAATTGCTGAACAAACAATAAACCTAGATCAAGTTCATATGGGTGGTGAGGCTTCATCTTCAAGAAATCAAATGTCAAAGATCGAGGAAGATATTTGGCATCATGAAAAAGAAATCCTTGCATTAGAAATGATAAAAAAGGAGTATATAAAGAAGGTTAATAGTAAACTAGCCTCGTGTATTCAAATTAGATTGCATAAGCATAAATATTACTGGTTTTATAGGTGAACTCTCTTGATGAAGAATTAATCGATCAAAAACACTTAGAAGAAGAGGAAATCAAATTAAATCATCGTTTGGGGATGTTGGTTTTAAATAAAGACGATGACTTTGATGATATGGATGATTCCGATGATATAGTGGTATGTTTACGAATGTTTTTGCCATCTAATAACCTGAACAATAAAGCAATTCAAAATATAATAGGTCAGCCATGAACTAGCAGAGAGAATGCAACTTCTTGAATTTAAGAAAGAAATCCTTGCGGAATTAGGTATTGATACAGATACATCTTATAAATTTGTTACGAGATTTCATTGGTTTTCTTGTTTTGAGATGTTCTATTATTGACCACTTGTACTAGACACTCAACTTGAAGAGTTGGAAGAAATTTCATCGCGACAAATGTACACTGGTGACTTTGGTCATTTAAAGTTTAAATTTCAAAGTATATCGAAGAAAGCAGACATGGTACCTAATGAATTATTAATATGCGCTAAATAACCATTTTGATGTCTAATGAAGCTCTTACGCCATTAATGCTTAGGAGGCAAACGAAGTTCAGTCGGAAGGAAAAGACAGAATCGAAATTATTTTGGTAAATTTCTTTAATTAATTGTTCAACTATATTTGTGCTTATATTTCTACTTTTTTCGATGGATAGTCTACTCTATCTTCGAAAATTGACCAGATTTTGGATGATCGTCAAAAATGGATGTCGTTGGAATTCAATAATCATGTCATCAAGTAAGAGATTTGGCTCGTTATATTATCTTATTATTATTAACCAATATTTAACTATTATTCGAAAATTTTATCAGAGAAGTCAATAATACTCTGATAAATTATGTCGCATCTACATTAGATCAAAGCGATATCGATTTGAACGTTTCGATACCAGTTCCATCGCAACAAGCCATTATTGCTGCGATAATTCTACGAATGGTTCGCAACGCAGGAGGAGAAATATCTCTTGCTGATCTTAAAGATCAAATTGGTCAGGCCGTGCGCGAGAAAGGATGGCAGGAAAGAGATGGAATAAATGCCCTTTATCTTCTTGTTGCCAATAAGCTTGTTAGCATTGATCGATCTCAAATGACTTATCTAGGGATGGTAAAGTTAGTTTAAGTTTGGTTTAGGTTTTAAAACCTTTAGGTTTCAAATTAAAAACCTAAGAATTGGAATTTATATTATAAGTTTTCAAATCCAAGTTAAACAGGGGTTGGCTCAGAACCAAATTTTAAAATTTGGTTTTTAATATTTTGTATAACAAAAAATAAAATCATATTCATAAAAAGTTAACTTGTATTAATTTTTAGATTTTTTTTTTAATTATCAAAATAAAGAGTATTATTTTTTATATTTTTTAAATTATTATTATTTTTTTATCAAAACAAAATTTTGAGTAAAGATATTTTAATAATTATTTAATTAAATTTGATAAAATTAGAGATGTGGTAACTTAGTGAAGTGGATAAGTTGTCAATCTCCCAAGTGGTAGGTTGTGAGTTCAAAATCCATTAATGATGAAAATTTGAATAATTACCTATGTAATATAAAGATGGTATTATGGTGATAACATTTTGTTGATCAGTTAGGATAGGATACCTGTAACTATGATCGCATCAGCATGACTGGCAGGTCACAGAGCATTTGTATAATCTTGGTTATATGGAAGAATGCAAACCGGTATCAGGTGGTACAAATCTAAAATAAGTCCTTGTGGTTGTGTAAATCTGTAAAACTGGGAAACCAGAGCCTACTTGGAAAGTCCTGAGTAAAGAAGTAATACAGATCTTTGACAATACCACTATAAAGGCTAGATCTAGGAAACAGATACCAATATAGAGGAGTCAAATAAACAAGAACCTCAGGTAAAGGGTATCACCAACTAGGTTACTGAAACCGAACCAAAGAAAAAGGATATTAAGCTGGTTCGATATATCAAGGACAGGTTACAGTCCTATTAGATTATCTGGATTAAGAGTTTGAGATCAAAGCAGGGGTATACTATAAGTACTAGAGATATCTGTGAAGTAGATGCTGGGTTTTGGGTAAACTCTACAAAGGTTAGCCTTGTTAATGTTCTGTAGAGTAGATAAGTAATTAACAAGAGAGTACCTCAGAATCTTACAATCAGATGACATATTCTGAAATGTTTAATGGCTTGACAGATATATAAAAGAAGAAGTTAAATGTTGGATTAGATAGCACTTAGTTGTACAAGAATCAGGTGTTACTTGTCTGAATGTAGTATAAGGATCAGAGTGTTTAAATAGGTACCTTCCTAGTAGGTTACAGACATGACAGTTAGTATAAAACTCTTAGATGGATTATTTAAATAGGTAACCAAAAGTTACACATATAACTAGTTGCATACTTACCTTATACAAATCATATGTAATGCATTGATCAAAAACACAAATAAAGGTGGTAGCTACTGATAACATTAGTTTTAATAAATAAATAAATAAAAAAATTTGATAAAATTTAAAGTTTAAAAAAATTTAAATCTATTTGTTAAATTAAAAAAGTTTACTAAATTTTTTTAAAACTTTGGATAAAAATATTTTAATTATTTGATTAAATTTAATAATATTTTTATTTGAATTTTTTAAACTTATAGAATTTAAATAAAAAATTATTAAATTTGATCAAATAGATGTTAATATATTTTTGTTTAATAGCTTTGTATTTTCAATATATTTTATTCTTTTATTTTTTAATTATGTTGTCTTTTCTAACAACAGTATCTCAATTCTTATTTATATTCTTAACAATCTTATTGAAGATGTTTTTTGCAATTATAAGAACATTTGGTTACTTTTACATAATATGAATAAAGTCTATAACTCTGTTAACTTTACTTTTTTTAAATACATATTTTCTCATCTCTTATTTTTTTCATCTAGTATTAACATTCTTTGATCTTTTTACTAATCATTATAATCAAATTATAATTAATCTTGATTTAATTTTATTTTACTTAGTTTACAATAATATTAACTAAGATAAAACTATTACTTCTTTATTATGATATATTTACTATGATCTATTTATCTCCTATATATATTCAACCATTTTTAATTACAAATTATAATCTTTTTGGACTACTAATCTCAAACTTCAAATATCAAACTCATTACAAAAACAATATTTTGTCTTAGCTTATATGAATAATACTTTTTGGATTGCTTTATCATAATCTAAACTATCATATATATTATCTATAGCTAAATTCTTTTATATTATAGCCAATATCTAAATTAATTCTTCAAAATCCATTCTGGTTATTAACAATTCTCTATTTCATTATACATCTATCTTTTATAATAACCATCTTTTTTTTTTTATTCTTTTAAAATATTTTTTAAATTTTTAAATTGTTGGTTCATTTTGAATAACAAACAATTTAAACAAATAAAACTATTTATATCTGATTTTTCTTAACTAATTCAAATTATTAAAACCAAATGTATTATTAATTCACATATTTGTTATATTATTAACATAATGATTATTTCTATTCTTGAATACTAAGTTTAAAATATTGTAATCAACCAATTTATTTGCAATAAAATTTTTATTCAGCAAATTGGTCTTATTAAATTTAAAGTCAAACTTTGTCATACAATACCTTCTAGTACCTTTTTATATTTATAAATTTATAATATTAAACGCATTTGAGACATTCAATTACAATACTATATTTCTAATCTTCTTAAATGACTTAATAATTCTAACCTATTAGGCACATCTATTTATATTTGAATCCAATAATTACAAAACAATCTTTGGTCTTCAACTAATATTTTCTTTTATTCTAAACTAATTATTAATATTCTCAACTGCCTAATCACAAAGTTTAAAATTATATAGCTTATTAAACATATTAACTGAATACTCTTAATTAATTTAACTTATAATATTTTTTATACTTTATATAATAGAACTATTTTTTTTGAATCTCTTTTTTTTTTTATTCTAAATATTCTGTTTTCAAATATTCTGTTTTCAAAAAACAACTTAGATATCACAAACTTCTCTTTCTTAACCAACTTATTATTTATAATAATTTATATTTATTATATTGGTAATATATTTCTTTTAGACTAAACAAACTTTCTAAAGATATTATACCTCAATGGTTTACTATTCTTAAGAATATTATTATAAGCTATTCCTATCAATATACATTATATAATTATTTTAACTTATCTCAATTAAACTATTTTTCTTATACTACTGATCACTTTAACTCTAATATCAAATCTTGATTACTTATTGTTCTTAACAATCAAATTATTGTTAACAAAACCAGAAAACATAATAGTCTACAGGCTTTACTCTTATCATTTATTAGCAATGTTTATTTTAGTCTTAGTTTTTTAATCTTTATTTTATTTCTTCTTATACTACTACTATATAACCTGAATATCATTTTAATTTCAATATAATCATTAACAAATGCATCATTTTTATTCTTACAAATTTGGTTACTAAATTACTTTGTCATATTAATTTTAACAAAACTCTTAACTTATATATTAATTTTCTTGATATTACATACTCTGTAGCTATTTGATATTCTTTATATATTCTATCTCTTTCTTTATTAACAATTAATTTACAACAATTATGTTACATTTTTCAAACAGATCAACTTATTGATAACTTATAGTTTATTACTAATTCTAATTATAATCTAACTACTATCTTATTTTATACTAATGGTTTTGTTATTGAGCTTGGTACCTCTCAATGATTTATAAACATAAGTTGGATTCAAATTAATAACTCTACAACTATTTATTTATTTCAGACATAAGTTAAACTTTGATTATGCTTTTTTAAAGCTAAAATTCTTAATATTCTTTTAACAATCATTACTGCTTCCAGAAACTGTTCTGTTCATATTTTTACTGACTCACAATCTATAATCTTTAAATATTACAATATTTGTTTATTAGCTTTTAAACTCTCTTATACTCATACTTCATATTTATCTATTTAATAAATTCTTATGAACTTTATTAACTTATACAATCTTTAGCTTATTTTTTACAAAGTTACTGTACACCAAGATGATCCATTTAATAATCTTGTTAACCAGCTTATTTATAATTATCAAATACTATTTTTTTTAATATTTTTAAGTAACAACTCTTGCAACTTTGCATATATTCTGTTTATTGACCAATTTTCTATTGAGATTCCTATTCAACACTCTATCTGTACTATTTGTCAAGCTTATATTATAATACTTTGAAATTCTAATATCATTTTCAATAATAGTTTATCATTGTATCCAATATTAACTAGAAAGCTACTTGGCTTTATATTAATAATAATCAAAAAGTTTCTAACTTTGTCTATAGTTTTTATTCCTCTATTTTAAAAAGTTTTTATATTAAAATTTTTTGAATGAACTATCTGTTTCTCATATTCTTCACAAACATAATTTTTCTTATTTTTCTTTCTGTTATTAATGCAATCAAACTAGTTTTTTATTAACTGGACTCTTTGTTCTTCCACTTAAACAATTTACTACTTAATCTTTAATTCTCTTAATTGCATCTTAAATACTACTGCTCTTGACATATTCACTAATTCTGTTTCTAATTTATATCAAGAAATTTTTATACTTAACAGTTTTAAATTATAAAACTTTTCTTATATATTATCTCTTATTTCTATTTTATTTGATTTAGTTTCTATTAACCTTATTTCTACCATTCATAATACTTCTATTTCTTACTGTATAGTTACTTCTCTTTCTATTAAATTTTTTTTTATTTAAACTAACAAATATAAATATGGATCTTATTATATTTCACATTTAGCATAGTTTTTAATTAAATCTTCTACAAACTCAGTTCATAATTCTCTTTCTAGTTTACTATTACCTTCTATTTTAATACTACAAATTATTACTAAAATTGATTTTTGAATTATTCAATAAATTAAATATTATATTCATTTCTTATATATTATTACTAATATTCAAATTTAGATAAGTCTTGGTCATTCTTATATATTTAGATTGCAAATTATATATTTAAGTCTTTATTCTTTATATATAATTTAAAAACAAGCTTTTTTTTATAAAAACTTTAATTGAATTTTAATAAATTCAAAAGCATGACCTTACTATTAATATTTAAAAAATATATATATATCTTTATTCAAAGTTTTAAAAAAAGTAGGTTTTTTTATTTTAATAAAAAATTTTTAAACTTTAAATAAAAAATACTTTAATAATCAGTTAATTAAATTTAGATATTTTTTTTATTATATATATTAAAAAGATTTAAATAAAAAAAAATTTATCAAATTTGAATTAGTTGTTAAAATATCTTTAAATCTCTTTTTTTAAAATTTAATAACTTTGCTAATGTCTTTATTAAGA